ACACAGCAAGCACCTGTGGCAAAATCTGGATTTAAACCCAGATTCTGACTCTCCAGAGCCTGCTCATTTAACTAGGCTTTGATTTCTGGAGTCTTTACTGGAAATCACACTGATGCACAAAATGAACTCTTATCCTAAAATAACATGAATAGGAATGAACGTGGAGGTCCTGCTGAGGATCCAATCCTCAAGGTCACGTCTGGGGGCCTGGAAGAGCGAGGCCTCCCCTCCCTCAGAGAACACTGCCACCTAGTGGGTGGCGTGGGTCAGGGACACGGGCAGGAGCGCAGGTGAGGGCAGGCAGGTGAGGGCAGGCAGGTGAGGGCAGGCAGGTGAGGGCAGGCAGGTGGGAGGCCCGGTTCACCTTATTGAGGCTGCTGCGGTCGCTGACGCTCTTGGTCAGCTGCTGGATCTCAGCCACCTGGTCAGCCAGACGCTTCTGCTCGTTCAGCTTCTCTGCCAGCGTCTCCAGCTCCGTGAGGGCCAGCTGCAGCGACAGCCTGTCTGGGTGGCCCCTGGGGGTGTTCTTCAGCATGTCCTGCCGGGCCAGAGCCGAGACTGAGCAGCCCACCCATGACCAACTCTACCCCGGCCTGGGGCAAAGCCTCACCCTGCGCACCCCCCTACACACACTCAGTCTGCAAAGGGCCCAGCCTGAGGCCAGGACACATGGCACCAGATGCAGAGCAAGACCTCAAGATACAGCTAATGAATGAAAAAGAAAACAAAAGCATGGATCTTTCTAGGAATAGACTCAAATGAACTGAAAGCAGGCTCTCAAACAGATATTTATCCAGCCATGTTCATAGCAGCATTAGCCACAGTCGCCAAAATGTGGAGGCAAAAATGTCCATCGACAGACGAATGGGTAAACAAAATGTGGTCTCTCCATACAATGGCATATCATTCAGCCTTGAAAAGGAGGGAAAATCAGACACGTGCTAGGACACGGATGAATCTTGAGGATCTTACGCTAAGGAAAACAAACCAGTCAAGAAAAGAAAAACATTGTGTGATTCCACGTATACGTGTTCTCCTAGAGCAGTCAGAATCATAGAGACACAGGGTAGAATGGTGGTTGCCAGAGACTGTGGGAAGGGAGAATCGGGAGTTGTTAAATGGGCACACAGTTTCGGTTTGGGATAATGAGAAAGTTCTGGCATGGGTGGTGGTGATGGTTGCAGAACAATGTGAATGCACTGAACTGTACACTTAGAAATGGTTGTGATGGTAAATAAATGTATAGATCAATCACTGACCAATTGATAAATGGTATGGTTACATAAGAGCCTACTCCCACAGCCCGGCAGCACTGAGAGTGGAGAGGAATATGCCACCAGACCCCTCAGTCTGGTAACCACCCTCTCAGCTCCCTGATGAGGACCAGCCCCTGCCCAAGGACCCTCAGCAGTTGGGACAGTGTCCCAGGCTCTCCAGGACCCTGTGTGGGGCTAATGTCCCTTAGGCATCCCCTGTTCTGCAGCTGGAATCTGAACTGGCCAAGCTCAGCACGTTTACTGGACATCTCCATGCCAGGAGCCCCGTGGGTCCTGGGATTCCCTGTGCCTTCATTCCCTTCCTGCAACCTAGGCTCAGGCCACCAGCAGCCTCTCGGCATTCCCCACGGAGGGGTGTGCCAACTGAGCTGTGAGTTATGATCAGTGTCACTCTAGAAGTGGAGAAAGATGAGGCCAGAGTCCCACAGCAGGTTGGGTGGGTTGTGGATCATGGACAAGAGCCCGGACCTTCTCCCTCCCACCCCAGGAGTCGCCTCCCAGCCCACAGGCAAACCCTGTGGGTCGAGGCTGCTGGAATCCCGAGCGGTACCTGAAGCAGAAGGATGAACTGTGGGAACCTCTGGATGGGCTTGACCATCAGCCCGTAGAGGGTGACACGGTCTGGGCTGCACACCTGCCGTCGCTGGTGGAGACAAGTTTCCGTCATTCGCTGACTCCCTGCAGAGAGGGCCCAGTGCCCCAGAGTCCAGACACTGTCCCCATTCTGGGGTCCTCTCCCCAGGCCCTAAGACCCTGCCCATCCCTGGGCTTGCAAGAAGAGCTGACAGAGGTCCCTGGTTCCGTAGCCAGGGATCCCTCCCACCACCAGTGCCCCTGCATGGCCCCACACCCTCAGGAGACTAAAGCAGTCATCTTAAGGTCTCTGGACTAAAGGCATAACTGGGAAACTCGGCAATTTATTCAAGACATCAGACTTCTAGAAGTGGCCAAGGCAACCATTCCCTCCACTTAAACTAAACGCAGACAGGTTTGGGTTAGGATAAGGGGCAGGGCACAGGGGGGGCCTTCTGTCCTGTCTCTTGCATCTGCCCCCCACTCCATCCACACACCTGTTACCTGGTCCTGGCCCCCATATGCTGCAATCCCACAGTTTCTCCACCTGCCTCCACTTCCATCTGCCCCAGCTCAAAATCCTTCAATGGCTCCCCATTGCCTGAAATATTACATCCTAGGCCCTGAGCCTGGAGGTCTAGAACCACCCAAACTGAATTCAGCTGCCTCTCGGTGTGCACACTCAGGCCTTCTCTCCTGGGACTCCCCAACAGGCATCAGTGCTCCTAGAATCCAAACAGACCTTCCCACCCCTCTCCTCCTGCCTCTGACCTTTGCCCCACTATCCTTACACCTGATATAGCCTCTCCTCTGTCTTTACCTGGCACAATCCCACCATCCCCCGCCAGGGCCCATGTCAGATGGCAGCTCCTCCTGATCCCCTGTTCTTTTCGATGGAGACAGTGGGTTCCTCCACCGAGGCCGCGGCATCTAACCTAGGCTGCCTGCACATGTGTGCGTCTCCTGGCACCTAGCCCAGCTGCATCCTCTGCCAGCCAGCAGGCTCCCTGCCGGCAGGGGCTCTGACTCACCAGACTACACTCCCAGAGAAATCAGCGGAGCCTGGGCTCAGCAGCACATGAGAACTCTGAAGTTTTCGAAGCCTTTAACCTTTACTCTCCCATGCAATGCCCAAGATACTCCTTTAAGGAATTTTCTCACCCGTTCATAAATGAGGAAAAGGAACCAGCTTAGCAACCCTGGAGCCACAGCCCGCCACAGGGCCAGCCAGGTGGACCCACGCACTCACCAGGGCACAGGAGGCAAAGGCTCAGCGAGATGACACAGGTCTCCCCTCCACCCTGCCAAAGCTCCAGGATCCCAACTGCTTAGAGACACTTGGCTACCCTCCTTCCAGGGGCAGGAGGGAATGATTTTCCTCCCATGGGACTGGGCTGCCCCAAAAGGAAGAAGGGAGGTGTCCAGGCCAAAGCTACGATGTCATACCCAAAGCTGGGGCCAGAATGCTCCCTCCCGCCTGAGCAATCTCCCTGCCCACCCCGACCAGGCCCAGTACCACCGTGGAGGCCCACCTTGAGGAACTCGAGGAAGGCAGGCTTGGTGAGGCAGGCCTTCTTGATGATGGACATGGCGCTGGTGAAGTTGTTCACGTAGTCACTGTACACGTCTAGCACCATGGACTTGGAAAACTGAAACGAGGCCGGTGTGGGCCAGGGAGGCCGCCTCAGTGCAGGGAGCGGAAGGAAACGAGGCAAGTATGGGCCAGGGAGGCTGCCTCAGTGCAGGGAGCGGAAGGGCAGCCTGCACTCACCCCACGCTCCCTTAGTGCCTCGAGCTGTGCAAATCCATCACCCTCACTGGGGTGAGGACATGGGGCTCAGAGAGGTAGAGAGGCCGGCCTGAGGTCATAGGTGGGATGGGGTGGTGCCATGGGAGAGCCCAGGGGGCCTTCACCTCCCAGGTCTCCATCCCCAGTGCAGCAGCCCAAGCCCACAGGTGGAGGGAGGAGAGGTGGGGAGAGAGGAGAGGGGTGGAGGGAGGGTGGGGGCAACACCCATCCTACTGCATTCGTTCATGAAATCGAATGCCCCTTGCCCTCCGCCTTTAAGGAGAATGCTCCTGGCCTCTCACCAGGCAGTGTGCCCAGAGTTGAGTTGCCGAGGGAGGGATGGTCGGCCCAGAGTCAACCAACCCTCTCACCAGAGCCCCTTGACATACACCTGGAACGTCGGACCTATTTAGTGACTCTATTGAGCACTATGGCTTTCAAAAAAAAAAAGTTTTTTTCTTTTAGCAAAACCTTATCACCTAAAACACATCAAAGCAGAGTGCTATCAACGTGACCTTCCCTCACCCCATGACCCTCAGACTTCAGCCAGAACAGCCAGAAATCCAGTGCACCCCTCATTCCACAGATGGGAAGCCTGGGCCCAGCATGGGCCCTGGACCTGCCCTAGGTTGCAGAACTGAGCTGGGACCACAACCAGGTCCCCCGGATCATGAGCCAGTGCCCCTTCCCCAGCACTGCGGCACGTCCTCTCGGGGCCAAAGTTGTGGTCTTTCACAGCATTTCACACTGGCTTGTCACCCCTCAAGTGCTCGGTAAGGGAGCTTGCAACCGGCCAGGTGGCTGCCCACAGTGACTGGGAGGCCAGGGGCGCTGCCACCTGGGAGGAACCAGGACAGCCACCTGGCTTCAGCAGCACCATGGCCTGCCAGGTATAACCAAGGACATCCTGGCCACTTCAAGGTGTCACACTCACCCCTAGATCAGGTCCAGAAGACTCAGAGATCCTGCCACCCTCTAATCTCACTGACTTGAACAAGGAGAGCAGGCAGAGGCAGGAGACTGGACTGCATGGCCCTGGGGTCAGACTGGTTGTGGTTTTACCTTGGTGGGCTGGGGGAAAAGTTTGGGGCACACTTACCGAGGCCACGAAGAGGTCCCCGATCTTCTCAGTGGAATCCCACTCAGCCACGCGGGAGGACAGGGCGATCTGGAACATGGAGTGGCAGTGCAGGATCTCCTTCACGCGGAAGAACACCACCTGGCACTTGCGGGCACTCAGTGCCTTGGGCTCCATCTCCATCAGGGGGTTGCGGTAGTCCTGCCGGGGAAGGCGGGGTGAGGCCACAGGCCAGGCCGCAGCCTCTCTCCCTACCTGCCTTCGTGCAGAACTCAGCCAACCATGAATGGTCCTTCCTGTGGCGCGGGTGGAGGCACTCATCCCTCACTCATGTGTCCTTCTGGAAGGATCTCCATCAACATAACACCTTGGCCTCACTGGCCACCCACAACACCCCCATGCTTCTGTGTTAAATTGGGTGGGAGGAAGAGGGTCTTTTATGTGCCATCTGCCGGCAAGGAGCTCCTTGGAGGCCGGCCTGAGGGCAAAGCTCTGCCTGTCACTGAGCCCGTGAGTGGTAAGGTCACTACAAGCTCCCTTGGCTCCCACACCCAGCGTCACTCTCCAACCAGCTTTGTCAGAGACAGGTGATATGTTCATCTCTACCTGCCTGACGCCTAGGATCTCTCTCTGAGGATCCAAACTGGAGAGGGGAAGAGAGGGTATCATGAGCAACAATTCCCTGCCCTGGGATCCTTACTCTGGTAGCCCACAACATCCCAGAAAAGTCACTGTCTCAGGGATTCAAACACTGCCTCAGGGATTCTCAGGTTGGCACATACTAGTCACTTCATACAAGCATCCACTCAGCAATCCCTGGGCCTCCTGATGCAATAAAGAGGACTCGATCCTACCCCTCCTGATGCAAGAAGGAGGACTCCATCCTACACATTTTCCCACCTAAGGATCTCAGGAGGATGGGAAGACATGGTCCAAGCCCCAGGGGCTCCCAGAGTGTCAGGAAGGACACAGTCCCTTCCAGACATAAATGGGGGTATATGCCCTCAGCTCTCCAGGAGTCATTTCAAAGAATCCCATTTTGTTCAGAAAGAAGACACTCCCGTGAACACCAAGGCACCAGGAATTCTTGCTGCCTACATTTGGAGGTTCTACTGTCTGTCCCCATAAAGCAGTGCTGGCTTATGGTCCTGTCCCCTCAAAACTGCCCACAGTCCCCAAACACTCCATATAAAGTAACCCTCCAGGGCCCTCCCTGCTTCTCCCCAGAGACCCTTGAGAACTCCCTGAAGTCGCACCTGTAGTATCCGCTTCAGAGACTCCACATAGCTGCCTTCGCTCTGCACGATGGAGCCCAGGATGTGCCTCCGGACCACCTGCTCGGGCCGAAAAGCACAGTCAGTGCACAGGACACCTGCTGCACAGGGCCAGTGCCTGCTGTGGCCCAGGTGACAGGAAGGGGAGCTGATGACTACAGGACAGAGAAACCTATCCCTCCCAGTCCCACCTGGGACCACTGGGCCTGGTGGCTGCTCTTCCTTCCAGAGCCCCTGCCAACCCAAAAGAAATGCCCTACTGCCCAGGCTGCAGAATAGAGGCGGAAGGGCACATCCCAGGGAAAGCCCCTCTACGCACATACATCTGGGGGTGGGGTAATCACCACGCTCCTCCATAGTGGCAGGTGACCACCTCCATCTTTGGACAACTCTAATAGAAAATTCTAGGCCGGGCGAGGTGGCTCATGCCTATAATCCCAGCACTTTGGGAGGCAGAGATGGGCAAATCACCTGAAGTCAGGAGTTCAAGACCAGTCTGGCCGACATGGTGAAACCCCGTCTCTAGTAAAAATACAAAAATCAGCTGGGTGTGGTGGCGCATGCCTATAGTCCTAGCTGCTTGGGAGGCTGAGGCAAGAGAATTGCTGGAACCTGGGAGGCAGAGGTTGCAGTGAGCCGAGATCGTGCCACTGCACTCCAGCCTGGGCAACAGAGCAAGACTCCATCTCAGAAAAAAAGAAAAAAGAAAAGAAAATTCTGTCTTAGCATTATCGTGAACTGAATCTCAGCTCCCTTCACTTGTGAATGAAATCCTTGAGCTATCCCTCTTCCACAAGACAGGCCTTGGGGTACTGTCCCCCCGCATGGGTGGTCTCTGCTTCCGGCTAAACATCCCCAGTCCCTTCTCCTTTCCCTCCCACCATCACCCTAATCCCTCCAGAAGCCTGGTCCACGGAGGGGCCCACAACCCCTCAGCCTGCAGCACCCCATCGAGCGTGGTGTGGCTTGCACCTCCCCCAGTTGGGGATCCTTCCAACACAGCCACCTGGCTCCCACCCCAGACCTTCTGAAGTTCTACTGTCCTCCGAATGAGGTGCAACCTGGATATCAGGGATTTTGAAATCTTCCCGGGTAGCTCTATTGTGCAGCCTGGGACAACAGGACAGTTAGGACAGTGCTCACATGGGTCCAAGGGGGAGCCCATCCCTCGCGATCTCAGGTTGGGAGGTGACTGACCCCCCGCTCTACCCCCACAGCTGTCCCGAGTGTCCATCAGGAGCCCACTGTCACTAGAACCCCGATCCCCTGCCCTACTCCCTCTGCTGCCTCCTCCTGCCTCCAGCAGGCTCTTCTCCCATCTTCCACTGCCCTGCCTGCAGCCAGGCCTGACCATGGCCTGGCCACACAGTCTCAGCAGATGGCAAGACCCCTGCCCCATTGTCGATCCATTGCCAACAATTCCCAGGTATTCAAGCAGCACCCAGAGCAGAGCACAAGGACATTTGGGGCCGTGTAACTCCCCGTGGTGGGGCTATCCCATGCCTTGCAGGATGTTCAGCAGCTTCCCTGGCCTCTACCCATCAGATGCCAGTAGCAACTCAAGTGATGACAACCAAAATTGTCTTCAGATGTTGCCAAATATATCCTGGGGGGCAAAAATCACCCTTGGTTGAGAGCTGCTGGCCCAGAGTAACTGACATTGCCTGATCCAGAAATTGCACAGGGCTGCAGGGGAAAGGCCCAGGGGCAGCACCAGGAGGATGGAGTCCCGGGCAGCACGAGCAGGAGTGGGAGGCCCGGATTTTGAGCTGCAGGTCTGGTCTCTCGGGCTCTCATAGCTGGGGCTTCGCCATCTCAAATGCCATGCTGGGCCGGGCAGGTACCATCCATGAGGGAGGCAGGTGGACTGCCATGAATGGGAGAGTAAGTGTCCTGAGAAGGGAGCTGCCTGCCCCAGCTCTGCTCTGGCCAGCTGCTGCCAGCAGGAGCCTGGTGGCTCTATCTTCCTGATTTTCAAAAAGGGCCAAGCATCAGGATTTTCTGCTGACCAAAAAAATGGGAAATCCCTTCCATTGAGCTATCTGCCCTGACACATCCCGCTCAGTGGCCTCACAGCCAGAGGAACCAGGGATCTCGCACCCTGTTTCACAGCTGGCAAAACGCAGATAGTGAAGGGAAAACGTGACTGGGCTGAGATCCCACAGCAAAGCCGCCCAGCCTCAGCATGATGCTCTACAATAAGAAAGCCTTTTTTTTTTTTTTTTGAGATGGAGTCTCGCTCCCTCTGTCGCCAGGCTGGAGTGCAGTGGTGCGATCTTGGCTCACTGCAACCTTTGCCTTCTGGGTTCAGGTGATTCTCCTGCGTCAACTTCCTGAATAGCTGAGACTACAAGCATGCACCACCATGCCCATCTAATTTTTTTTTTTTTTTTGTATTTTTATTAGAGATGGGGTTTCACCATGTTGGCCAGGATGGTCTCGAATTCCTGACCTCAGTTGATCCACCCATCTCACCCTCCCAAAGTGTTGGGGTTACAGGCGTGAGCCACTGCACCCGGCCAAGGAAGCCATTCTTAAAGAGCCTCAGTTCCTGGTGGGAGCTCGTGGCAGCACTGAGGCCCAGGGTGAGGACCAGTGGACAGATGGCAGGGGCTGGGCACCTACACACCTGCAGCCTCCCCTGAATCTGTTTTCCCATCTCATTCTTCAAATGACACCTTAGTCAGAAACAGCCAACAGGACAGCTCTGCGTGGCATGGAGTGGGAGGAGGCAAGCACTCTAGATGCTGGGAGCCCACCCCCTAAAACCAACAGCACAGAGCACATGGGGTAGAAAGTGGGAAGCCTGTGCAGTGGCTGAGGAGAGAACCCAGGAGGCCCCTGCCCAGCTGGGCTCTGCCAAGAGCCCCCAGTCATCACATCCCCTGTGAGATCCAGACCAGCAGGGCCCCAGACAACAGGCTGGAAGCCCCAAGCCACCCCTGCCCCTGCAGACCTCCACCTGCCCCACTCCCCCACAGACCTGCTGAGGGCTCAGGCCCTCTGGCATGGGGCCCAGCTCTGGGGCTGGGGGCTTGATGTCCGAAACGCTGACCTCCAGGAGCCCCATATCCTCCTCCTCCGAATCACCTGGAAAGTCAGACGGGCTGATGACACAGCTAAGGCAGGGACAGCACACCCTTCTCAGGCCTCAGGAGCTGAGAGCCCCCCTAGACCAGCCTTGGACCCAGGTCCTAGGGCACGAGCAGCTCCTGGGGCCCCGCGGGGTTACAGCCGCCCAGTTGCTCCTTCTCAGGAGTTCCCTGCTACGTCCCAGGGCCTGGAACAGTCCATCAGTGAACAATTGTGAGTGAGTGAGCGAGAGGGTAAACAGGCAGAAACCAAAGCCACATCCTGCGGGGCCTGGGCTCTTGGCATCCACGCTGCCAGAAGCCACTGTCCCTGCTCAGGCCCGCCCGCTCGGGCCTGGCGAAGGCCAGTCGCCCGTGTCCCCATCAGTAGGAACTAAAAATAGTTTTCTTCTGGAAGTCTAAAACGGGGAAGAAAATAAGCCCCAAGAAGAACAGGGCAGCGTGGTTTGGCACTTTCATTTCTAAATGAAAAATGCAGAGCTAAAGGGAAAAAGTTCAACAGGAGCCTGACAGGGAATCCTGGGCGTGAGTGGAGCTGGACCTCGGACGGAGGACGGAATGAGATGGACAAAGGCCCAGGCCTCTGAGCGTGGGAGGAAGTCAGACCGTGAGGGAGGCTCCAGAGAGGGTTCCAGCCCCCACCAGAGCAAGGTACAGGTGCTGGGAGATGGGACCCCAGCTGCTGAGGGACTCTGACTCCAGCGGCAGCTGTGGGCAGCAGCGAATGGGAGCTGTGAGGAAGCTGCGGAGGAAAGAAGAAGCGGCAGCGATCTCAGGGGTGGGAGGGGGCAGGGACACCCCAGTAGGCCCTTACCTGAGCAGGAGACAGAGGAGGAGGAGGAGGAGGGACAGCGGATGACAGCGTTGGGGTGGGGGTGGTACAGGCCCTCCTGCCGGGCCCACATCACGCCCCGGGCATCACTCCGCACCCACCCCAGCCGGCCTCGCAGCTTCCTCTTCCCCCACGAGCTGCTGGGTAACATTCTTGGCCTGTGATTCGAGCCCTGCCACGGCTATTAATATCGCCTCTGCGGGGAGGGTCACTTCAGGAAGGCGCTGGGCTCATGGGCGGGGTGGGGAGGCCTGAGGAGAGCCCTGGCCAGCCTGGGGTTGGGAGGGTGACCCAGGAAGAGCTCCCAGCCAGCTGGCCTGGCCACGCTGTCCTTTCTTAGGACCATCTCAATGAGTTTAGAATGGCCACTTGGCCTGCTCCCTCCCTCATCAAGGGTCAGTGCTCCCCAAAAAGCAGAGGGAACATGGACAATCACTGAGCACCCACCTGTACCAGGCCTGCACACACCTACCTGGTTTATCACCGCACCAAGTACACGGGTGGGGCTCAACCCATTTTACAGATGAAAACCCATTTACAGCCTGCTGCCCCAAGAGGGGAAAAAGTGCAAGGTGACACGGCCAGAAGGCCACAGAGCCAGGGTCTGAGCAAGCCAGCACGAGGCCGTCCTTGCACCAAACGCCTCCACTAAGGGACTGACTGCCCACCAAGAATAACGTCTGCTACATAGGACTCTCTCTGTCCTCGTACTACCTCGGACATCCTCACCACAGCCCTACAAGAGAGACAGCCACGCCACTGTACAGATGAGGAAACCGAGGCACAGGGAGGTGAAACTACAACATTTTCCAGGAGGACACAGGCTCTCAAAGTTCTGCCTGGCTTGAGGCCTGTGTTCCTTCCGCTGCACCAGGCCATGTGCTGAGGACGGGCAGCAGACAAAGCCTACGTCCTTCCAAGGAGAACTGGCACCCCCAGAATTCCATCAGCTGTGATCCCACTGTACTGGGATTCTTTGTCTCCTTGTCTGTCACCTCCAAAGATGTGAGGTCAGCAGCAGGGGCTGGTCTCACTTGGCCCTGTCCCACCAATGCCTGGGAACACATCAGGGGCCCTGACCTAGACATTCTCTGGAGGAATGGACCAGAGCCTGGTGGGGACCAGGAGCGAGGGTAGCCACCTGAAGGGGGCTTCAGGGGAACAGGGGCAGGACTCATGTTCACAGCTGTGTCCCAAGGCTTTAGGACAGTTCCTAGCACATAGTAAATGCTTAATAAAACTTGTCACATGAATAACCAATTGAAATCTAACCATGGGACACTTCTGTGTAAAACCTTCTACTGACCTTCCAGCGTCCTTAAAACCAAAGGCAAATGCCCAGCAAGGCTGACAGAGCCTGTACTGACCAGACCCTAACCTATCACGACTGCCCTCACTCCCGCCACCTGAGGCCTCCTCTATCCCTTCCAGGCCTGTGTGTCCTCAGCCCTGTCACAACCCCTCTGTGCCTATTCCCTCATCTGCTGCAAGGGATTGTGAGAGTTCTCTGCACCTTGTGTGATGAGGATAAGGATTAAGTGAGGAACTGCAGGCTCATAGGAGAGCACCTGGCACACAATAAATACTCAATTGGTGCTGACTAGGAGCACCTCTGGAACATCTCGTACTTTCCCACATCCGGGGCTCTGCACACCCACTTGCTCCTCTTCCCAGAGCACCCACTCTGCTCCACCTGGTGACCTGTGCCTCCTCCTTCCCTGATCTTCCATCCCCAAGTCCATCCTCATTTTCTCCATGCCCCCAGGGCACCCCAGTGGACCACTTGTCAACCTGTCCTGTCATTTCCCACGTC